AAGACATCTAGAATAATCTAAAATATTTGAAAATTAGACTATCACTCTAAGTAACAGATGGGACAAGGGAGAAAGGGAAATTTTAAAAATATTTTTAAATGAATGAAAAAATACAAAATACACATTTTTGGCCTTAACAGAAAAAAAAAAGTAAAAAGGATATAAATGACAAATCACAAAAAGAAATACAAATGTCCAGAAAATATGAAAATATACTAGACTTCACTTTAAATAAGAAATGTACAGTTTTAATTAAGAACATATTGTTTAAACTTGTAATTTTACTGCTAAAAATTTATCCTAAGTAATGGATAGACACACAAGGCATGTTTGAAGGATGCTAATCACAGCACTGTTTACAACAGCAAAAAAGGGTGCAAATTGCAATAGAGTATGGTATGTTTATATAATGAGAAAGTTATGTAGCTATATAGTTATTGATATGAAAAGCTTTTTATCATGCATTAATTTTTAAAAGCATATTATAAAATATCATATGTAGATTAAGCCTACTGTTGTTACAAACAATATTAACTTCTCTGTGTCCTATTGAATTTTCATTCACATAGATAATATATTTATTACTTTTAGAGTCATATAAAAATCATGAGAGCCATTTTTAGTTTGAAAATGACAACTATAAAAAAGTTGATGTTTATTTCTTTTACTTTTTTCTTAATTTATTTTACTATTTGAAAATTATTTTATTTTCAAAAATATTTCTTCATACCGAAATCAGGAGACAATTCTTTGTAAGATAATTTTTTAGAATTTGTCTCAGTATACTACATCTGGAATGCATGCCCCATACAGTTCCTCAAGTTTTCTCATTGCTGCCTTTCAAAATGTTAGCAATGGGGCATAGTATAAAGATCATCCTTTGGAATCAGGCAGTCTTTTTTTTTTTTTTTTTTTTTGAGATGGAGTTTCGCTCTTGTTACCCAGGCTGGAGTGCAATGGCACAATCTCGGCTCACCGCAACCTCCACCTCCCGGGTTCAGGCAATTCTCCTGCCCCAGCCTCCTGAGTCGCTGGGATTACAGGCACGCGCCACCATGCCCAGCTAATTTTTTGTATTTTTAGTAGAGACGGGGTTTCACCATGTTGACCAGGATGGTCTCGATCTCTTGACCTCATGATCCACCCGCCTCAGCCTCCCAAAGTGCTAGGATTACAGGCTTGAGCCACCGTGCCCGGCCCCAGGCAGTCTTGAGTTCAAATTCCAGATGTTACTTACTTAACTAAGCAAAATACAGGGTAATTATACCCACTTTGATTCTGTCTTAAGTCTCTGTTTGTAATGTACTTAGTATAGGGTCTGCAACACAGAAGGAATTCAATAATAACAGCATTAAATACTATTACCTCTTAAAAAATTTATCCTTGGAATAAAGTAATCACAAATGAACGCAAGAATAAGTGTCATCTCCTGAATTTGCTTTAGCTTAGAACATCCAAACAATTTTCTTATATATAGTCATTAAAAGTGTTCATTATAATAACTATTGAAAAATGTTTAGGATGTTATGTGAAGACCTTTAATAAACATAAATTGTTTACTGTGTTAAAATGTGTCACATATAAAAAATGTGAGGCATACAAAGCAAAAATAACTTTCTTAGGATAATATGATTATTTTTCAAAAATTTCCATAAGCTGCTTTTTAATAAAGGTAAAGACAACTAATATAATTAATACAGACAGACATTAAATATGCTAAATTTTAGTCTTTTCTATCACAAATATTTTTCAGAAAAATTTTGTTAACTCTATCACATCAGACTCCTTAGCAAATATTTATTGAATACCTTTTATGTCCCATCCAGTATGTCAGGCAGTGGGGATACAATGATAGGAAAAACCAGATATAATTCCTTTCCTGTCTCTATGGAACTTACAGTCTAGTAAGGAGAAAGACATTAGTAAACACATAAACAACAACAACAAATCACCACTGACAGAACTCCATAAAGAGAGGTAGAAAACTGGAGTCAGGGAGGTCAGAGAGGGCATCCCTAGGAAAATGGCATGGAGTGGAGACCTAAAGATGAGTGCGAGTTAACCAGATGAAAGGGGGAGGGAAAGACATTCTAGAAAGAATACAGTATGTTCAAAGGCCTGTGGCAGGAGGGAGGGTAGCACCCTTGTGAAATTAAAAAGGTCAGTGTAGCTGGAGCATGGGACTAGACGAGAAGCATTGTATGAGATAAGGCCAGAGAAACAGGCAGGGGCTCAGTCATGCAGAATTTAAAAAAAAATAATAAACACTTCCATTTTCAGTTTAGAAGTGATAGGCAGTCAATGAAAAATCAGGACTAGAGATAGGAAAAATAGGTTGTTGTGATTAGATTTGAAAAGATTATTCTGACTTTCTTACTTCTGTAGTATAATTGAGAGATGATGGCAGCTAGTGGAAATGAAGAAAAAGGAAGAAGTTTAAGATTGAGGAGAGGAAGCTGACAATTAAGTGATGACAGGATGGGAGAGGAAATGTCAAAGTTGGTGTCCAGGTTTCTACCTTGAATACCCAGTTGGTTGGCTGGTGCTGCCATTTATGGAGTTAGGGAAGACCAGAGAACCAGGTACAGTTGCAAGGACATCATCATAGTTTTAAACATGATGAATTTAAGGTGGTTTTGAGAACAGACTGGAGGGGCTTTCACAGAGGCAATTATATACAGCAGTGAAGTATATAGTTCATAAGAGAGGTCTAGTCCAGGGCGGAGAAATGTATACTTACAAAAGTCTTGGGAGAAGGTAACATTTCCCAGGAAAAGAATAAAATGAGATGTGGGAACACCAATGTTTAATTGCCTAGAAGATGATGAACCTCCAAAGGAGTTAAAAATAATGCTTCAAAATAAATTTATTCTAAGCACAAGCAAATTAGCCTCAGTCACATATTTTGTAAATTATATTTATTTTCTCATTAGGTATTATTCAATTACATAAGTTACTTTTATTACTGGGGATACTCATCAGAGAACAACCTTTGTATTCCTAACACAGTCCTTCTTAAAATTCAATTACTATTTAGTAAATACTGCTAATATTTCTGCTGTCTGCTTTATTTAGATCAACTTCATTACCATGGGATTAAATTTAACAAGAATAGTGTAATACTCAAATCTATTTTCCTGAATAAAACTGAATGAATGTTATCAAGGATACAATCTATAAATCTTCCTAATGGTTCAGTTTAATAGCTCTAAAACAGCCTGTCCTGGCTTTAAGAGGAATTATAGTAAACTGTAGTTCTGTGCAGTATCTATTTAACTCACAAGCATCATTTATCTCTGTAAATCTTATTTGCTTATTGAATGTCACGGATATGATCTAAACAATAGAGAAGAAAACCTGAATTAGCCTCCATTTTATGCCCAATAGGGGAATGAAATATAGAACAATGCTTTAGTAGTTTATCAATGCCAAAATTCAGTTGGATTTCATCTTATTATAAAAGAATTTAGGGAAATATCAATGGAGTAAAAATGGAGTTGATCATTTAATAATATTTAATAATACAATGCATAAAAAAATGAGATAAAATGTTTCTTTTAATTATGGTGAAATTACAGGTAAAGTTAGATTCTATGTGATACTATAGCTCAAGAGTTAAGACACATAGGATTTGGCTGAAAGTAGATACCTTTGGCAAAGACGCCTATCTGTACACAAAAACGCTATAGTGTAGAAGCATTTTGTTTGTTTGTTTGCAGTTAGGATGGTCATGTGACAGTGAGGTTAATGAATGGAATATGTGCAGACATAACATATGCTGCTTCTAGGAGTGGCTCCTAAAACTTCCTACAATTGTTCCTTCATGTTCTTTTCTCTAACTAGTTGGCTAGAACTAGTGGGCCTAGACAGCCCCCAGGACAACCTTAGAAGTGATGTTGTTGGCCAGGTGGGGTGGCTCACGCCTGTAATCCCAGCACTTGGGGAGGCCAATGTGGGCAGATCACTTGAAGTCAGGAGTTTCAGACCAGCTGGCCAACATGGTGAAACCCTATCTCTACTAAAAATACAAAAATTAGCCAGGTGTGGTGGAGTGGGCCTGTAGTCCCAGCTACTCGGGAGACTGAGGCAAGAGAATCGCTCGAATCCAGGAGGCGGAGGTTGCAGTGAGCCAAGATCACACCACTGCACTCTAGACTGGGTGACAGAGTTAGACTATCTCACAAAAAAGAAGTCATGCTGTTTAAGATGGCAATGTCTCAGTCAGTCAGAGTCCCTGACCACAGTCCACATCCTACCTAATCTAAATGAAAATGCTTTGGACTATCACATGATTAAGAAACGTTTACTGTGCTTGATCCTACATTTTTGTTTCAGCAGCAGCCTACCCTAACAGTACAACTATGATGTGATAGCTCCTCGCCGATGAACAGATTCTACTTTTCTGCCAGCTCTACATTATATTTAAATGCATACCTTGCATTTAAAAACCTCAAGCAAAGGACAGAGTATATCTTCTGGTGCTATGACCCTAACCCTAATGAAACACAACTTAAAGTATTTTGTGTTTCTGTACAATACAAGTTTTTTACATTATGACTAGTAAGTGTTTTTGTTTTTATAAACTATTCAGAATTTCTAAATTTAAGTTATTTACTCAGGTCTAAAGTTGTTTCTATAGAATTTACTTTGATGTTTGTAAACATGGCAATAAAAACATAATTTTATAACAAAAAGGCTGATTTTCAAAAAATATAAAAATAACATTTCTGACGTATTATCTATTCATTCCAAAACTATTTTCTGAGGGATTAATATATATTAGGTATTATGGAAACAAAAAAAATTAAAAGCTGCCATTTCAAGGAGCTTCAATGTTAATATAAAAGAAAAAAAATCAGGGAGAGGATCCAAGATGGCCGAATAGGAACAGCTCAGGATTGCAGCTCCCAGTGAAAGCACAGAAGGTGAGTGGACGCCGCATTTCCAGACGGATTTTTATTGCCCACAGACCAGGAGATTCCCAGGCGGAGGAGCCCTACAGGTCGCCAGCGCGGCTGTTTTGGCCAGTGCGGCTGTTTTGGCCAGTGCGGCTGCTTTGCTGGCGCCCCGGTGCAGCGGTTCTCTGTACAAAATACACTGGATCGGGTGCCCTTTTAGCGGGCGATTGGAGACCCGGAAAGGCAGATCGCCCATTCATCTGATTTAAAAAGGAACTGAAACAGGGAGACAGGCCAGGAGATTCCTGGGCAAAAAAACGGCCAGGAATGTCAGCACGGCTGTTTCAGCCAGTGCAGGAAGTCGCCCGCACAGGAAATCACACAGATCTGGGTGCCTTTTCTTTTTTTTTTTTGAGACGGAGTTTTGCTCTTGTTACCCAGGCTGGAGTGCAATGGTGCAATCTCGGCTCACTGCAACCTCCACCTCCTGGGTTCAGGCAATTCTCCTGCCTCAGCCTCCTGAGTAGCTGGGATTACAGGCACGCATCCGGGCGCCTTTTCAACAGGCGACTGGAACACCTGGGAGGGAGTCGACCGTTCAATTAAAAAGAAAAACAAAAAAACCCAGACTCTGAGTCAGGGAGTCAGGTGATCAGACTCGGCTGGACCCACCCC